AGAGAGAGAGAGAGAGAGAGAGAGAGAGAGAGAGAGAGAGAGAGAGAGAGAGAGAGAGAGAGAGAGAGAGAGAAGGAAGGGCTGACGCTGACAGGTAGAGGTAGTGGGCAAATTGGATCCTATGGGACGTTTTTTCTTTTCTTTTTTTTATGGAAGGACCACTACCTTCCCCATATATTGGTTGCGGGGTGGATCCCCGCACGTTCCGGAGGCCAAAAGGAAACGGTGCCTGATGAAGTTTATCTACGGCGGGCGCTGTTCGGCCCAGCCCCCGAAAAATGCGGTGTAGGCTATATTCCCACTTTTCCCAACAGCGGGAAAGGTAGTGGCAGTTTAAAAGGAAGTGCATAAGTTGGATGGGGTCCAATTTGTCGCATAGGATCCAATTTGTGCAGTACCTCTAGAGTGGGAGTGACTGCCTGGCGTGTAAATGGTAGAGGAGACTATGGTGGAGATCAGGGGCAAGGTCCCACTTACCTGGATGGTCCTTTCTGGCAGTCGATCCTCTTGTCAATCCTTGCAAGTGGGACATCGACCCGGAAGGTGTTCAGTGGCAAAGACTTGGCAAATGATGGACTGACCTCAGCTACAAATTGGCGTCGACCAGGGAGGAGGGAGCAAGGAAGGCTGGCAAGCTGGCAGGCAAGGCAGCGAAGAAGGCATCTTTGAGGGGCAGATGGGTAGAAAGGGAAGCAGCAAGGCAGTAGGGCACTACGCCTTCACCCGAAGAGAGCAGACTATCATTTTCGCTGCGTCTGGACTGAAAGTTGGACCAAATACGCATGTCATGACCGTACGTTCTATTCAGGCGAAGCCGGTAGGCAGGCAAGCAGCACTTTGGCAAGGCAGATAGGTCGCAAGGCAGCCGGGCAATTGGGCAGACAGGGAGGCACAAAGAACCAAAGAAGGCATCATCAAAGAGCAGATGCACAAAAAGGGAACCAGCAAGGACATTGGGCACTACGCAGGTAAGCAGCACGGCAACAAGGTTGATAGGTGCCAAGGCAGCTAGGCATCAAGACAGAAGGCAGGGAGGCAGACGAAAGGGGAAGGGAAAGGGAAACAGCAAGGCAACAAGGTGGGCAGGTGGGTGCGCAGTAAGGCGAGCGGCAAGGAAACAAGGCTGGGCAGCAAGGTAAGCAGGCAGGCAGGTGAAAACGAGAAGTGGCGTAGGCTTCGAATGGAAGCCCCAGTAAACGGCGGCAGTAACTCTTAACTGTCAATGTTAGGGCAGTTATAAAATCTGCCTGTATGCTGGAACACTCGCTCATGGCAAAGGCAAGCGACAAGGCAGGCAGGTAACCGGTCAGCAGGGCAATTAGGCAAACCACAAAGCAAGCAGTGGGGGAGCAAGGCAAGCAGGCGACACCCCAAAGAACCCCTTATCGGTACTTGCTTGTACCCATACTCGCCCGTACCAGTTGCT